ACACACACACACACACACACACACACACACACACACACACACACACAGAGCCAGGCATGGTGGTAGGTGCTGTAATCCCAGCTACTTGGGAGGCTGAGGCAGGTCACTCGCTTGAACCCGGGAGGCAGAGGTTGTAGTGAGCCAAGATCGTGCAAATGCACTACAGCCTGGGTAACAGTGTGAGATTCCATTTCAAAAAAAAGGAACGGTGAATTTTATGAAATGAGAATTATATTTCATTAAAGTTTTTAAAACCGCTATAGAAAATAGAACAATTTAAATTTTTATCAAAATACACATTTTTTAACCTAAAATTTCAGACTTCTGGCAGTAATATAAAAATTGGTTTCTTGTCGGGTTTGTTGGGCATCTATGGTGCTCATGAGTTAATTTTGTTGTATTAGAGAAATAATACACAGGATTAGGGAACTAATTAGATAAATAATTATAAGAGCACGGTCACGGAAAGTGAGTAATTCTATAATAGGGGATGTAGCATCTTAAAGGCCTAATTGAACTGGATGAACCATTAAGATATATAGCATTTACCCTTTAAATTAACTTTGGCAAAGTTATGTAATAATTTTCCTAATATCTTATTGAGGGAGAGTCATAGAGGTTATGGGACTGGCTTGAAACCAGTTTCTGGAGGTTTGATTCCTTCCTTTCTCACTTAGGTTTTCATGTAGGTTGGCTCTTCGAATGGTGGAAAGCCATAAAGTCACTCTAAATTAGTAGATGATTACTCAATTGTTAGTAATTTTTGTTTCAAAGCAAAGACTTCTCAGATCATAAAGATTATTAGTATAACTGCTGTGAGATAAATGAGCCTATGGATGAGATGACATTTCATGTGATGTGTGCATCAGGATAATTCGAGTAATGTCAAGGCATACTGGATAGGCCAATGAAGTGCCGTGAAAAAAAGGTTAAATTAACATCTATGAATATAATGGTGAAGTGGATTTTATCGTAGGTCTGACTGTGTAGCCTGAAAATAGAGGAAATCAGTGGACAAAGCCTCCCATAATAGCAAATAACGCTCTTATTGATAGGATGTAGTAGAAATGGGCTACAATATGTCGTATAAGACAATATCTAATGATGAGTTAGCCAGTATGATGCCAGTTAAACCCCCTACTGTGAAAAGGAAAATGAAATCTAGGGCTCAGAATATTGCAGGAGATCATTTGATGTTACCACTGTGCAATGTAGCTAATCAGCTGAAGATCCTGACGCCAGTAGGGATAGCAATAATTATGGCAGCAGAGGTCAAGTATGCTTGTGTGTCTAGGTCTATTCCTACTGTATGGTGAACCCATACAATAAACCGTTAAGAAGCCAACTGATATCATGGCTGACACTATGCCCATGTACACAAATGGTTCCTTTTTTCTGGAATAATATGTTACCATGTGAGAGATTATCCCGAAGCCTGGTAGGATAAGGATACAGACTTTGGGGGGACCAAAGAATCAAAATAAATGTTGGTATAAGATAGGGTCACCCCCACCAGAAGGGTCAAAAAAAAGTTGTGTTGAGGTTATGGTCAGTCAATAGTATAGCAATGCCCGTAGCTAGGACTGGGAGGGAAAGAAGTAGAAGGACTGCTGTAATGAGGACAGATCAGACAAAAAGGGGTGTCTGATACTGGGATATGGCTGGGGGTTTTATGTTAATAATTGTGGTAATAAAATTAATGGCCCCTAAAATAGAAGAAGCACCTGCTAAGGGGGGCGAGAAGATGGTCAGATCCACAGAGGCTCCTGCTCGTGCTGGGTTTCCTGCTAACCGGGCATAAACTGTTCAGCCGGTTCCCACGCCAACTTCTACTATTGAGGAGGCAAGCAGGAGTAGAAAAGATGGGGAAAGAAGTTAGGAGCTCGTATTATTTATCTGGGGGAACGCAATATCGGGTGCACTGATACGGTGCACTAAAATAGGAGACTGCCTAGGGGGTACCAGGCTAAATAAATTTTTTTTTTTGAGACCGAGTCTCACTCTGTCACCCAGACTGGAGTGCAGTGGAGCAATCTTGGCTCACTGCAACCTCTATCTCCTGGGTTCAAGTGATTCTCCTGTCTCAGTCTCCTCAGTAGCTGGGATTACAGGTGTGCACCACGACATCTGGCTAATTTTTATATTTTTAGTAGAGATAGGGTTTCACCACATTGGCCAGGCTGGTCTTAAACTCCAAACCTCAGCTGATCCGTCCACCTCGGCCTCTCAAAGTGCAGGGATTACAGGCATGAGGCACGGAGACCAGCCAAGATTAGGTTAATTACTAAAATTAAATGTAAATACTTCCTTTGAAATACAGATGAGACATAAATTGTGCTTTCATTTGTATCTTGAAAAAAGCTGAAATCAGCAGGTTTTCATAAAGTAATTGAATATGAAACTCTTTATATAAGCTCAACAGTATGCCTTCCTCAGGGGAGAGAACTGAAGAGCCACAGTTCTGACATGATGTAATTTCTTAGAGAGCTCTGGAGGCCCAGATAGGAACATCAATTGTTTTATTTAAGAAAGCATGGCCTTCTTGGAAAATCCTTGTCTTTTCTTTTCCAACTCATATAACCATAGATTATGAGAGGGGCAGGGTACTTCAGAGATGACTAGCCCAATACCCTTCTTATATAAATGAAGGAACTATAATAAGACCGCCTCCCTCAACCTCTGTAAATGATGACTGGGTGAATTTAACTGCTTTCCCTGCAATACAAGACAGCGTTTAAGAGGACAGGTTATGAAATTAAGATTTCTTTGAGATTCTATTTACTTATTTGAAACAAGGGATAATAATAGTACCTATTTCATTGTGTTGCTGCTACGAGGATTGTGTAAGAAAATATATAAGATAACTGTTGAATACAAGACCTTGCACTAAAGCAGACAGCCAATAATGTTGGTTTTTCACTTCTGCCTCTCTGATATATCCACTCTCTTAGCCTTTAATCAGCAGGTCACATTGACAAGATGAAACATGGTCGAGCCAGATGGCCTTCTACACTGGGAGAGATTCTTGGTCATGGAGCACAAGAATTACAGATATGGTTGATCCAGTCACATATCTGCCTTGCCAGACATAAACAGACTCTTTCCCTTCACAAGAGTGAACAAGGACCAAGACAGACGGTTTAAAGTAAAAGAAACAGGTACAAACTTGTCACAAACAATGAGAAACTCTAAACATGACAAGAGTCAATTCACAAAGTCAACATCCAGAAATAAGTTCTAAGCTCAAACCTTTCTTTGGCTACTAAGCAAGTTCATTGCAAATGCTAGAATCACAGCAATCTAATCCACATCACTCTTTGGTCGAATCCCAGAAAAGGAGTAGAAAGAAGTTAGAATATGTCTTTCTTAATTTTTATTAGCATTCTTAAGGTAGGATTCTATATTATATAGCTAGCTTCAGGCTACAATTCTATATCATATCAAATTTATAGGGATGCCCCAGTAAACTTACAGATTTAAGAACGGAGTGTAGAGGAAAAAAACCATCCTACAAAATTTGTCTGGGTGAAAAATTACTATCCATAGCAGTCAATGATAAAATAAAAATGTTCAAGGAAGGCTTGGCCCAAATGCTTATTAAGCTCATACAAAATATCTGATAACTTATCCATACGCTTTCTTTAGGAAATGTGAGGTCATATTTTCAGTCAGATTCAGGTCTTTAAAAAAAAAAGCAAGTGTAAAAAAATTATAAGCAAATGTAGGCTGTCATAAGGGAAACAAGGACTATATCAGCGATAGAGGCACTCTGCCAGTTAAGATGACCATCAGTATTTCACTGGTTTTAAAAACTGATACAGAGGCCAGGTGCAGTGGTTCATGCCTGTAATCTTACCACTTTGGGTGGCCAAGGCAGGTGGATCACCTGAGGTCAAGAGATCAAGACCAGCCTGGCCAACATAGTGAAACCTGGTCTCTACTAAAAATACAAAAATTAGTTGGGACTGGTGGCACGCGCCTGTAATCCCAGCTACTCCGGAGGCTGAGGCAGGAGAACTGCTTGAACCCAGGAGGCAGAGAAAAAACTTGGTCTCAAAACAAAGCAAAGCAAAACAAAACAAAACCCACAAAACTGATACAGATATGCACATTTTTCTATCAGATTATATGTTACATGTGTATTCTTATATTCACATACAACATTTAAAAGTCACTTTTATTTCCAACCTTTTACTTAACATCTGTTTATACCTTTTCTTACCTCTTGTGTTAATTTTGGTATGAACCTCAAGCTGGGGATCACTTGAAACCATACAAGGCCACCAAGGATAGGTTCCCACCTTGGACCACACAAGATCACCAACCTGAAACTTAACACCAGTGGACACTTCTGTTGTTGGAACAGAAGATAGTATTGGCTGAACCTACAGGAAAGGATCAAAAACTTCATCAGAAATTCAAAAAAAGAAACTATGTATAAAGTACATTAAAAATACTAACAATGTAAATTTATCTTCAATTATACTTTTCTGATACAGGAAAGGGTCAAAAACTTCATCATAAAATCAAAAAAAGAAACTATGTATACAATATATTAAAAATGCTAACAATGTAAATTTATCTTCAATTATACTTTTCTCTGATACCTCCTATCTAAAACTAGCAAAACGGGAGGAGGAAAAATATTAATAAGCCCTACCCCAAATACTGAAAATAGGATTGATGGTTTCTGTTGGCAAAAAAAAATTTTTTTTTTTTTTTTTTTTTTTGAGACAGCCTTGCTCTGTTGCCAGCCACCAGGCTGGAGTGCAGTGGTGCGATCTTGGCTCACTGCAACCTCCGCCTCCTGGGTTCAAGCAATTCTCCTGCCTCAGCCTCCTGAGTAGCTAGAACTACAGGCACGTGTCACCACGCCCAGCTATTTTTTGTATTTTAGTAGAGATGGGGTTTCACCATGTTAGCCAGGATGGTCTCAATCTCTTGACCTTGTGATCCGCCCACCTCAGCCTCCCAAAGTGCTGGGATTACAGGCGTAAGCCATTGGGTCTGGCCTCTGTTGCCAAATTGTTAACAAGGCATGTTAAGAATACACATGATCAATTTTAAAAAAAAAACAAAAAACAGATCATAGTTTTGAAAAGGAAAATAATTCACTGAAAATATCCACCTCTCAAACTAGCTCCAAGATTTATTTCAATATAATTTCTGAAATTAAGAAGCACAGTACCATAATAAAGTGTGTTGCAATTCAATCACTATGTTTCACCTTCTTCTACCATATTTGATTAGACAGTATTCAGTAAAACAACTTACCGGGGTTTCCTCTTTTAGTACTGGATCTTCCCTTGGTTTTTCTGCTACACTGTCAACCCTCTCATTTGGTCTCTAGGTGAAAAGGTATAGGTAAGTTGAATAAAATGGCATTACACATACAAAAAACAAAAACAAGAACAGTGACATACAGAAAAAGAATCAAAGAAAACTAAAGAGAATAAAGGGCATTTATTAAATGAACAATGTAAGGAGTAAGAATACAACTTAATCAGACATAATGCTGTCTCAACATCCATTTTCCATCCCATGCCATAGCTTTATCTCTTTTTTCTTATTTTGTTACTTTTAAAACTTAATTTCTAAATAAACTGGTAATTTTCCTTTAATGCTCAGATTCTAGAAAAAATAGGCACTCTAAGAGTTCTAGTAAGATGTAACTTAAAACTTCTGGAAAGCAATTTGGCTGTATATATGCAAAGCATTAAATTCTCAGACTCTGACCTTGCAAATCCACTTCTAAGAACGTGTACTTGAAAAGCACCGAGAGATGTAAAAAATATGGATAAGTATGAAGATGTGCATACCAGTGCTACTTACAAGAGCTAAGTATTAGAAATAATCTGGATGTCCAAACATCTAGAATATAGTATAGCTAAGTAGAACATATTTTAAAATAACACTAAATACAATGTTATTTTAAAACTGTACATCACAAAGCAGTTTGAATAGTATGATTCAAGTCTTAATAATTATTTTTATGTGACAGAAAAAAGACTAAAAGGATATGAAAAGTTACCACCAGGTAATAAGTGATTTCTTTTTTGGTGTGTGTGTGTGGGGGGGGAACTTTCCTTTTTTTTTTCTTTTGAGACAGGGTCTTGCTCTGTTGCCCAGCTGGAGTGCAGTGGCGTGATCATGGCTCATTGTAGCCTCAATGTCACAACCTCCTGGGCTCAAGAAGTCTTCCTACCTCAGCCTCTTGAGTAGCTGGGACTACAGACACGTGCCACCACACTCAGCAAATTTGTTGTTGTTGTTGTTGTTGTTGAAATGGGGTCTTCCTGTTACTCAGGCTGGTTTCAAACTACCAGGCTCAAGCGATTCTCCTACCTTGGCCTCCCAAAGTGCTGGGATTACAGGTATGAGCCACCGTGTCCAGCCGGTGCTTTTCTGTATTTGTCAAATTGTCTATAATAAACATTATGTTACTTTTCTAACCATAAAACCCACAAGTATGTTTTTTAAAAACTAGTTTCTAAAACTCTTTGGTGAGGCAATTTGGAAGTAGCTATCAAAATTCAAAATATGTACACTGTTTAGCAATTACATTTTAGAAATTTATTCTGAAGAAATATGCAAAATACAAAAATCTAAGCAGAGGAATGGTAACTACAGTATTATTTCGTGTCAGTAATCTGCATGTCTACCAATATCTTCCAACTTGTTATTTAAAAACATGTAATCTATACATGCCTTGAAAATGTCTGGTACAATGTAAACAAAATTGATACCAGTAATTATCTTTTGGGAATGACATTAGGGAAATGGTGAATAAAGATCTTCTATACAGTACCTTTGTATTGTCTTTTCTGTAAAAACAAAGATCCAAATTACTTCTACAATTTAAAAGATTTTTTTAGGCCAGGCGCAGTGGCTCACGTCTGTAATCCAAGCACTTTAGAGGCCAAGGCGGGCGGATCACCTGAGGTCAGGAGTTCAAGTCCAGTCTGATCAACATGGTGAAACCCCGTCTTTATAAAAAATAAAAATAAAAAAATTTTTAAAAAAAGAAGATTTTATAAATGTCTTACTTGTTAGAAAACAGAATTTAATTTAGATGGCTTAAAAAGAGGGTATATCCATTACAGTAGCTCTTAACTTCTCTAAAAGAATATGATTAATTCTAAAAGCTACTTAAAATTCTCATTCTATTGTTTCAAAACATTTAAAGATACTGTTGTGAAAACAAAGTTTTATTAAATAAAAAAAAAGTATAAGGCCGGGCGCGGTGGCTCAAGCCTGTAATCCCAGCACTTTGGGAGGCCGGGGCGGGTGGATCACGAGGTCAAGAGATCGAGACCATCCTGGTCAACATGGTGAAACCCCGTCTCTACTAAAAATACAAAAAATTAGCTGGGCATGGTGGTGCGTGCCTGTAATCCCAGCTACTCAGGAGGCCGAGGCAGGAGAATTGCCTGAACCCAGGAGGCGGAGGTTGCGGTGAGCCGAGATCGCGCCATTGCACTCTAGCCTGGGTAACATGAGTGAAACTCCGTCTCAAAAAAAAAAAAAAAAAAAAAAAGTATAAAAAGGTTTGGTTTTTTTGAGACAGAGTCTTGATCTGTTGCCTAGGCTGGATGCAGTGGTGCAATCTCAGTTCATTGCAACATCTGCCTCCTGGGTCCAAGTGATTCTCCTCCCTCAGCCTCCTGAGGAGCTGGGATTACAGGCCTGTGCCACCAAACCCAGCTAGTTTTTGTATTTTTAGTAGAGACAGGGTTTCTCCATGTTGGCCAGGCTGGTCTCAAACTCTTAACCTCAGGTGATCCACCCGCCTCAGCCTCCCAAAATGCTGGGATTATAGCCATGAGCCAATGCATCTGGCCTAAAAAAGTTTTTAAGTTTTAGGAAAATGATATATTCTATAAGCCAGACTAACGTCTCCAAACTCAAGTATCAGTCATTCATTTCACAGTGCCTAGGACGTTCCAAGACCAGTTCTAGAAGCTATATAGGCTATATATAACAGTGAAACAAACAGATGTGATTCCTGACCCCAAGGAGTTTATAGTTGGACAGGAGAGACTGACATTAAAAAACAGAAACACAAACGTCCAGTTATAAAGTAGGTGCTATGGCGGGGCATGGTGTGGCTCACACCTGTCAGCACTTTGGGAGGCCAAGGTGGAAGGATCTCTTGAGGACATGAGTTCAAGACCAGCCTGGGCAACACAGTGAGACCCAGTATCTAAAAACAACAAATGTCTGTAGTCCCAGCTACTCTAGGGGGCTGAGACAGGAGAATCGCTTATGCCCCAGAGTTCAGGGCTTCAGTGGGCTATGACTGCCACTGTACTCCAGCCTGGGTAACAGTGAAACTCTTAACAACAAACAAATAAAAAAAGTAAGCACTAGGAAGAGAAAGATTTATAATAGTGTATGAATATACATGTTATTTTCAGATACGAAGGTCAGGAAAAGCCACTCTATGAAAATAAATTACAATCTAAGAATCAAAGGAAGAAGAATTAGCTTAGTAAAGAACATTCCAGGAGGAAGGAGTAGCATGTGTGAGATAACTGAGTGAGGTTAAAAATGGTATCAGATGGGCACAGTGGCTCACACCCATAATCCCAGCACTTTGAGAGGCTGAGGTAGGTGGATCACTTGAGCCCGGGAATTCAAGATCAGCCTGGGCAACATGGCGAGACCTTATCTCTACAAAAAAAGAGCCAGGCATAGTGATGTGTACCTATACAGTCCCAGCCACTCCAGAGGCTAAGGTGGAATGATTGCTTGAGCCCAGGAGTTTGAGGCTGTGTGAGTTATGATCACATCACTGCACTCCAGCCTGGTTGACAGAGACCCTGTCTCCATAAATAAATAAATAAATAAATAAATAAATAAATAAATAAATAAATAAAACAACGATTTCCTTCCAAACCTTATCATTCAAATGTCTTATCTTTTTAAATTTTTCATTTTCTTCCAGATTGTTAGTGTTTCCTTCAGGCTGGTTTGAAACACCATCAAAATCACTTTCAAAGAATTAAAATTGTTTACACAGTCATTTTAAAAGAAAGAAGTGGCTAGGGAGCGAAGGATGCCCAAAAGGATTTATTCTAAGCTTTCAAGACTATATAGATAAGAGTAGGAAAAAGAAGTCAAGTAAGGATGGTGCAGTGATAGAGAAGGAGTACCCATTATAAAATGTGCTAATGCTTGAGGAAAACAGATACACCTAGTAGGCATTTAAGAGATAGAGACAAGTCTAAGACATTAAAATTAGGAAAAGACAGAGATAGCATCTGTGGGTACTAACTCTGTTGCTTTGTCAGAAAGAGAAAGCATCAGAGAAAACGGTGACAGTCAGTTACCACTCCTTAATGTTCAGTTCATCTTAATTTTAAATTTATGATTTTGTGCATATATACCACATAGAAACACCTAAAAATTATGTTAAGAGTGGCTAAAATAAGTTACATTATCCTAAACATTCCTTTAAAAATTTTAGCTTAGTACTTTTATTAAAACCCAAGAGATTCATTAAGATGAGTAATTACAGGCCAGGTACAGTGGCTCAGACCTGTAATTCCAGCACTCTGGGAGGCCAAGATGGGCGGATCACTTGAGGTCAGGAGTTTGAGACCAGCCTGGCCAACATGGCAAAACACAGTCTCTACTAAAAACACAAAATACAAAAAAAAAAAAAAAAAAAAAAAAAAATTAGCTGAGTGTGGTGGTGCACACCTGTAATCCCAGCTACTTCAGGGCTGAGGCACAGGAATCACTTGAACCCAAGATCATGCCACTGTACTCCAGCCTGGGTGATAGAGACTCTGCCTCAAAAAAAAAAAAGGAAAAAAGATTAGTAATATACATCAAATCTGTCAGAATTTCAAACCCTTAATAATATTACCTAAATAAATTTCAAAAACATTGAGTAAAATCATAGTCCCTAAAAGAACAAAAGACTAATGTTAACATTAAAGTTGGATAGAAAATTTTAAGGTAATAAATTGTGTATTTAGGCCGGGCGCGGTGGCTCAAGCCTGTAATCCCAGCACTTTGGGAGGCCGAGGCGGGTGGATCACGAGGTCAAGAGATCGAGACTATCCTGGTCAACACGGTGAAACCCCGTCTCTACTAAAAATACAAAAAATCAGCTGGGCATAGTGGCGCGTGCCTGTAATCCCAGCTACTCAGGAGGCTGAGGCAGGAGAATTGCCTGAACTCAGGAGGCGGAGGTTGCGGTGAGCCAAGATCGCGCCATTGCACTCCAGCCTGGGTAACATGAGTGAAACTCCGTCTCAAAAAAATAAATAAATAAATAGTGTATTTTTATTTCACTTTCTGAATGACTTAAGTTCATAACTTTAAAAATAAAAAATATGGGCTGGGCACAGTGGCTCACACCTGTAAGCCTAGCACTTTGGGAGCCTGAGGTGGGTGGATCACCTAAGTTCAGGGGTTTGAGACCAGCCTGGCCAACACGGCAAAACCTCGTCTCTACTAAAAATACAAAAATTAGCTGGGCATGGTGGCGCACGCCTGTAATCCCAGCTACTCGGGAGACTGAGGCAGGAGAATTGATTGAATCCAGGAGCCGGAGGTTACAGTGGGCCGAGATTGCGCCACTGCACTCCAGCCTGGGTGACCGAGTGAGACTCCGTCTCAAAAAACAAATAAATAAAAATAGAAAATGTGTACAAAGAGAATATTTTGCATATAAAGAGTTCTATGAATTTTAAGGCCTAATGCTCTGAGGCTAGAGAACCAAATCTGCTACCTTAGTGTTCATGGGACTGATCCAGTCACTCTGCCTTTTTTTTTTTTGAGACGAAGTCTCACTCTGTGACCAGGCTGGAGTGCAGTGGTGCGATGTCGGCTCACCGCAACCTCTGCCTCCCAGGTTCAAGCAATTCCCCCGCCTCAGCCTCCCGAGTAGCTAGGACTACAGGCGCGTGCCACCATCCTGGCTAATTTTTTGTATTTTTTAGTAGAGTCAGGATTTTACCATGTTGACTAGGATGGTCTCGATCTCCTAATCTCATGATCCACCCACCTTGGCCTCCCAAAGTGCTGGGATTACAGGCGTGAGCCACAGTGCCCAGCTCACTCTGCTTTTTATAAGTAGAAATGGCAAGCTAAGGGTTAATAAGACTCTGCCTTGGTGGATTAGCCCACTGAGGTGCTGATGGGAGACCAATGACTGTTTGAATAATAGGGCCTATGCTCACATGCCTGAGGCATTCCACCTGCCAAGGGGGAAGACATACAGAAACATTGCCACATGTTTCTGATTTGGTGGGAGGAAAAACAGCTCACGAAGATTTTTTAAATATACAATTTCAGTAGTGATCTCAGGTCTCCTGCTGCCTAGATGTTTGGACATATTTTCATCGTTGAGAAGATACACTTAGGTTGTTTCAAATAACAGCCACTCTTCAGAAGGCCAAACAGCTCAGAATTAGGGAGAAACACTTACACATCAAGTACTAAGAAGAAAGTAGCAAATGAAATCTTAAAATATTGTGTTTTTTGTTTGTTTTTGAGACAGTCTCACTCCATCAACCAGGCTGGAGTACAGTGGTTCGATCTTGGCTCACTGCAACCCCCATCTCCCAGGTTCAAGGGATTCCAATGCCTCGGCCTCCCAAGTAGCTGGGATTATAGGTACCCACCACCACACCCAGCTAATTTTTTTGTATTTTTAGTAGAGTCAGGGTTTCACCATGTTTGCCAGGCTGGTTTCGAACTCCCGACCTCAAGTGATCCCCTGCCTCAGCCTCCCAAAATGCTGATATTACAGAGTGAGCCACCACGCCTGGCCTTAAACATGGAACTCAACTATAGGAGGTTTTGTTTGCTCAAAAAAGAACCTATGAGTGGGCTTTTAAGGAACAATAACAACAAAGTAAAGTAAAAGAAAAAATCTACATAGAAGCAAATCCAGCTCCAGGAGAATTATATGATTCTTCTCCAGGAATACAGTTTTCATTAGGTCTCCCTGGGGCATCTGGGGGAGGGAAGCTGTTCAGTGAAGTCAGTGGGCTCTTCTTTGAGCTTCCCTTTCACTTCTCAGTCCTCTACAATGCTAAACACCAAGGTCTGGGACCCCTATGGACAACCAGTAAGCATAGGGTACTGCATATTAAAACACTGAAAACAACTGCCCTGAAGGAAGCACTGTAGATCTTCAAGTTAAGGAAATCTAATTTAAAAACATAAGCAGAAATGAAACATTAATTTATATGCATCTCTAGCTTAGCAAAATCATGACATTAACGATAGGCAAGAGCCGTGGGAGCTCTGGCTTTGAAGGTCTATGGTCAGAATGGAGTACAACTTCTATAACTGCCTCCTTGTGTGACACAATCCAATTAATCAAAATTCAACTAACAAAAACTTACCTCTTCACTTCTTTGAAGGAAGGGAAGAGAGAAGGGAGAAAGGGAGGGAGAGGGAGACAGAGAGAAGAGAGAGGGGGAGAGAGAAGAAAGAAGGGGGGAGAGAGGAGAAAGGGAAAGAAGAAGGGAAGAATGGAAGACGGAAAAGACAGGAGGTAGGTGAGTGATGGAGAGAGGTAGGAATGGGTCAGAGAGGGGAGAAGGGGAATGGGAAGGAGAGGAAAAGGGAGCGAGGGAGAGCGAGAGAGAGAAGGAACAGGAAAAAAATCCTGGACTCAACTTTCAAGCAGTTTTGAAAGTAACATTCCAGGCAGTCAATACCACTTTCTACAGCTATACTTTTGGTCAAAATTGATGTTCCTTTACCCCAAGCTATTGTAAGATCCTAAATAATCAAATAATAAATTTTGGTCATCATGATTCAATGAAAAGGAAAATGAACTAAAACCCTTAAATTAAAATCTAAATATTCTAATTCTTAGCTGTAACAGTTAACTGAAGGTTTAGGTGATACAAAGAACTAGGTATAGCAGATATCCAACAAAGACAGAACTGGATTTAGAATCTCATTGCAAAATGACTACTAGAAACATCACTGATAAGAGCAGGCATCTCTATTTTTCATTCATTGCCATACCTTCAATTCTTAGGGCATTGCCAGCATATAGTAGGAGGAGTATTTCACCAACATTTGTTAATGAATAAAAATAAGAAAACTATAGAAAAATGAGAGAACATATTGAAATGTCACATGTGGACTTGTGAGAGTCTAGAACCATTGTGACCTTTACACCAGAAAAACATCATATGAGTTGTATGAAGTAAGAGAAGCCAGCTACCAAAGAAAAGATGAGTTGGTAAGAAATAAACATTTCTTTAAACTGACAATAAATGAACATATTCAGGCATGACACATATAAAAGCAGATAGCTGTCACAAAAATAGTTTTCCCAAGTCAAAGTTTAGAAAACATTTGCAATTCATATTATGAACTCTTCATTTAAGCCCAATTATTTGTTACATAATTATCACTATATTATTGCTAAGCAAATTTATGCTGAAACCTCAGATATTAAAAAATTCAGCAGCATGTAGCTTAAGTTACTTATAAAGGATGATTTCTAGGCCGGGCGCGGTGGCTCACGCCTGTAATCCCAGCACTTTGGGAGGCCGAGGCGGGTGGATCACGAGGTCAAGAGATCGAGACCATCCTGGTCAACATGGTGAAACCCCGTCTCTACTAAAACTACAAAAAATTAGCTGGGCATGGTGGCGCGTGCCTGTAATCCCAGCTACTCAGGAGGCTGAGGCAGGAGAATTGCCTGAACCCAGGAGGTGGAGGTTGCGGTGAGCCGAGATCGCGCCATTGCACTCCAGCCTGGGTAACAAGAGCGAAACTCCGTCTCAAAAAAAAAAAAAGGATGATTTTTATAAAAACTCACCTGAAGTTTTAATCAGTATGTATTAATACTAACTCTGACTTTAATAAAAAGATTTCTATTATTTCAGGCTATTTTTAGCAAACATATTAGCAATGAGTTAAACCTAAGCTCTGCTGGCAAAAGTTGGTCTAAAATAATAAAAATCCAATATAATTAACTATCTTCTCTTTTCGTTTCCTCTTCATTTTCAAAAACCAACAGTCTATTATAAGCAAATAAAAATAACCAAGGCCATTAGGGCAAAGAAACATAAGCAGCAAGATTTGTTTCACGTTTTAAAAATATTTCTTGGGCTGGGCGCGGTGGCTCATGCCTGTGATCCCAGCACTTTGGGAGGCCGAGGCGGGTGGATCACAAGGTCAAGAGATCGAGACCATCCTGGCCAACATGGTGAAACCCCGTCTCTACTAAAAATACAAAAAATCAGCTGGGCATGGTGGCACGTGCCTGTAATCCCAGTTACTCAGGAGGCTGAGGCAGGAGAATTGCCTGAACCCAGGAGGCGGAGGTTGCGGTGAGCCGAGATCGCGCCATTGCACTCCAGCCTGGGTAACGAGAGCGAGACTCCATCTCAAAAAAAAAAAAAAAAAAATATTTCTTAACTAATCATGTCCATTCATATATTCGACAAATACTCACTCAGCACCTATTGTAATATTCCAAGCACTTTGCTAGTGATTAGAAAAAAGAAGTTATCAGAAAGATTCATATTTATATTTAAACAGCTAAAAACCAAAAAGATCTCTTGAACTTCCAGTAAATGTGAAATATAACAAAATTTTTCAAAAACACTTTTCAACTTACATTTTGTTCCTCTGGTTCTAATTTGGGGATTTTGTGTGACTTGCGCTCTTCAGATCTCGATGAGTCATGCTTGTTGCTTTTTTTCCTCTTTTCTTTTCTGCTTTCATGCTTTGACTTCATGTGCTCACTTGCCTGTACTTCATTTAAAAGGTCTCCACAAAGGGAAGACTCAAACAATTCCCTGCCATTCTGGATAGTTTTGGTTATTTTTAGTTTAATTTCAGGTGAGCCAGTCTTCTTTGGAATCACAGTTTGTGGTACCGAAGGAGGAGGTGGTGGCTGTGGAGGGGAAGGTTTTTCCAGAATTTCATGTGGTCTTGTGTTTGGAATTTCTGAATGGTAATAGTCAGTGGGGCTAAAGTTTCTAACTGCACCAAAGCCATTGGCTGACCCATTAGGATACTGATTATACGACTGGTATTTGGTTTGAGGTTCATACATGCTGATTGATGATGGATAGCCATTTGTGAGTGGAGGAAGATCTTCTGTTGTAGCTGGGTACTGAAAGCCTTGCTGCAAGGTAGCTTCATATGGTGTCTGGCCACCATCTTCAGCAATGTCACTGTTGTTATCAAAGGCATCCTCCTGACGGATGTTGGCGGAGTCAATGAGTTGAGGTGGTTGCTGAATTGTGTTTCCCATGATCCCTTGCATGAAAGAGAAAGAGAAATCCATTGTTCTGCTCCAGCATCCTTAACTTTCCCTTTCTCTCATCGGGCCTAAAATTATAAAAGAGGGGATTATAAGGTGTTAATATTATCATAGGCTAGAAGCTAATCAACTGAAAAAGGATTAAACTAAAATGTTTTGAACTCGATTTTCATATCCAGATATGCCTAGACATTAAATATTTCTAAAACAGATAACCAACATAATTCTGACACAGGGCAAATACCTTTTATCTTCAATGCTTATCTGTTTGAAACTCCCGATTACTTTCACAACAAGTGTGGCAACAAGATTTTATCGTGACTGCCAATACACAAAATAGTTTTGACATTCCTTTTTGTTTCTCAAGTTTAGATGGTAAGTCTCAGGTTAAAACTGGTGCTTCCAAAATAAGCAGTATCCTGACACATATCAATCTATTTCCATAAGAGCTTCCTTTAAAATCATTCGCATTTTGTCCAGAGGTTGTTTTTGTTATTACAAAAATTAAAAAACCTTATTGCAATTTTTTTTTTTTTTTTTTGAGACAGAATCTCACTCTGTCACCTAGGCTTGAATGTGGTGGTACAATCATGGCTCACTATAGCCTCAACCTCCCAGGCTCAGGTGATCCTCCTATCTCAGCCTCCCCAGTAGCTGGGATTCAGGCATGCACCGTCACACCCAGCTAAGTTTTGTAATTTTTGTAAGCAGGGTTTCACCATGTTGCCCAAGCTGGTTTTGAACTCTTGGGCTCAAGAAATCTGCCTGCCTCAGCCTCCCAAAGTGCTGGGATTATAGGCATCAGCCACCATGCCCGGCCTGCAAATATTTTAAACACCAAAGTGAAAAGGCCTGTTCCTCTCCCCACTTCATCATTCCCATTCTTCTATGCCAAGACAACCACTATAAACACTATGATGGGTATTCTTTCACATCTTTCTCTACATTTTTACATATAAAAATTTTTAAATAGGGCTTATTCTGTGACTTGCTTATTTAACTTAATATATCCTAGATACACTTCTACATCGGCATGTATAGACAATTTTCATACATATTCATCCTTTAAATGGCTGCACAGTAAACAAACATGGTATTTACCATAATGTATTTAACCATTTGTATACTGATAATCAGTTTCAATTGTTTGATGTAATAAATACGTCTGCAGAAAACATCTTTCATTTTTATTTATTTTTCTTTTCTTTTTCCTTTTTTTCAAATAGAGACAGGGTCTTGCTATGTTGCCTAGGCAGGTCTCAAATTCCTGGACTCAAGTAATCCTCCTGCTTCAGCCTCCCAAAGTGCTGAGATTGTAGGCGTGAGTCACCACTCCTGGTCTGAAACATTCTTGAAACTATATTTTTGTGCACATATGTATTTCTATAGGACAGATTTGAAATTCTGATAGATATTATAAAATTGTTCTATAGGTTATACTATGTCAATTAACTCTCATACCAATAGTGTGTGTTTCTCTATACTCTTGCCAGTATCTAGTTGTTTTTAACAAGTGGTAGATATAGCAGAAGCATCTGGGATACTTCTACAAAATGCATGTGTCAGGGTCTATCTTCTGAAGATTCCAATTGAATAAATCTGGGGTGGGGTCCTGGGCATAATTTTTTAAGACTATATCCTCATTAATTCTGATGCATACTCTTGGTTGGATCATTGCATTATAACCTTACAATTATTGCATCTCCTCTAGTAGGTGTCTGAAGATGCGTACATTATGAAATAATGTTACAATATAGATAAGCATCTGTTAGAAAATGCTACAAGACCACCCAGCCTTGTCATAAGGTTTCACAAGTGCACATCATAGGATAGAAGATTAATGGACAGTCCATATATTATTTTGATAATCCCATAAAGTCTTCTTCTAGAAAGTTCTAAAGCAAGAATGACAAGCCAGTTTTCACAGCTTTATCAATTCTGATTAACTAATTGTAGCTGCCTGGAATACTATGAAGAAAGGTCCTGAGGTTACATTCCAGTTCGATTCTGTTAATAACAAAATCATTAACAATGTCCATTATTAATAGATTAATAACAGACTGATTAATAGTGTCTACCATCTTGGTTCTAGTAGGATTTGGTGTTATAATAAAACAAATAACCCAAAACAGCAAATGGAAGAGAGAAACAAAGCTGGCAACACACTTTTCAAGTTATATCCAATTATACAGCCACTGTTTGTTCTGCTGTTAGCAAATGGAAATCATTTTGGAAGTTCTAAAATTACAAACAAATGAATAAGGCTGCACACAAGAAATTGAACTGTGTGTACTGCTTTACATTGGCAGGGGGTGGGAGGGATCTGGATGGAGCACTCTCATTTTCTTAGTGTCTCCTCTGGGTTGAGATAGGGTATCATTCTGTTGCCCAGGCTGGAGTGCAGATAACATGTAACCACAGCTCACTGTAGCCTTGACTTTCCCAGCTCAGGTGATTCTCCCAACTCAGGCTCCCAAGTAGCTAGGACTACAGGCACGCACCAACCTGGCTAAATTTTTGTATTTTTTGGAGTTTCAGTATGTTGCCCAGGCTGATCTCAAGCTCCTAATGTCCATGATTTTTACTACTGTATCACTTCTGTTTCCTTCAGCTATCCATTCTGGGGAAATAATTCTTTTGTTCAGGTACTTTATTTCTTGGTCACTACCAAAATTACAAATATTCTAATAACTACCATTATCACTTACGTAGCACTTTGTATGTGCCAGGCACCATTCCAAGTGCTTTAAATTAGTAGTACATTTAATTCTCCCAACAACCTTCATGTAGATATTCTCTCTTACCATAGATAGGGAAATAGAGGCACAGAGAAGTTAAATGACTTGCTCAAGTGCACATGGCTAATAATTAATTGACAGAGCTAAGAGTCAATCCAAGCAAGTCTCCTTCCAGGGTCTGTGTTCCTGATTAGCATATCCTACTTACTGACAATGTTTAAGAACTAAAACATTACCTTAATTTAACCCTTGGCAAAAATGTATAGCTCACAGCAACAGACATTAAGAAGGAAATGTTTAAAAATTCTGTTAACAACCATGGAACAACTACACGGGCAGGATTCAAAAGTTCTCATTTATACTTCCAACTTGAAGGCAAGTCAAATAACAACATCTAACAAAATGCAACCTGTGTTTTTGGTTCTTGTAACTGTCGTATACAAGATCAACTTCCAGATTAGTCTCCCAAATTATAGTCTTCAGGGTTTTTCAAGCATATGTATTCAGAGACAGATTTCTGATGCTTTTAATTGAGTTTCAAACAAAAGAAGTTTTAGATTTTCCCCTTTTCCTGTCTTCTTTAGCCCTAACTCCAAATATTTTATTTTAGTCTCAACTAAGAAAATAACATTACCTTCTTACAATTACATAGGAGTCCACAGAGTGAACTCATACGCATTCATATTGCAGAGTGTTTTCACATACATTTGTATTTGATCCTCAAAACAACTCTGTAAGGATGACAGGGCAAGCTGTGTATTAGCTTCATTTTTTAGGTAACTACATGGAACATTTGAGATACTGACTTTCCCAAGATCACAAAGCTAATTAGTGATTAAACTTGAAAAATAATCAGTCTTCTGATTTCTAATCTTGTACTCTTTTTCACAATATTCCACTGCCAGAGAATAATCAGCTACTTAAGGACAACTACACTAAACTCTTAAAAGTCATTAGTTCAAAACTGATTGAACTGTCCTTTTCCTAGTTCAATGTCCCCTTCAGACTTCCCCAATCTGTCATTGCTTCCACCACTTTTCTAGCTTCTCAGACTAGAAATCTCAGGCTCATAGGTGATTGATTGTTCCCTCTTTGTTATGCCATAAAACTAGTCATTTAGCAAATCTTGCATTTTCTTCCTTTGAAGTATTCTTCCCAGTGCTTCAATTGAATCTAAAGTGAGGGAATAATCAGACAAATCCAAAATGGGGGATATTCTCCCAGACAACTGGCCTGGGCTCTTCAAAAAGCTAATGTCTAAAACAAACAAAAGCAGCACTTTGGGAGGCCGAGACGGGTGGATCACGAGGTCAACAGATCGAGACCATCCTGGTCAACATGGTGAACCCCGTCTCTACTAAACCTACAAAAAATTAGCTGGGCATGGTGGTGCGTGTCTGTAATCCCAGCGACTCAGGAGGCTGGGGCAGGAGAATTGCCTGAACCCAGGAGGCGGAGGTTGCGGTGAGCCGACATCGCGCCATTGCACTCCAGCCTGGGTAACATGAATGAAACACCGCCTCAAAAAAAAAAAAAAAAAAAAAAAAAAGGTGGAAAGACTATTCTAGATTTAAAAAGATTTATCAACCCTATACAATGCATGCACTTCGATTAAATCCTGGATTTAAATACATACAAACACACAGATTAAACATATATTGTGAAGACAACTACAGAATTTTTTTTTTTTTTTTTTTCATGTTTGTTGAAGGGGGTTTTCACTCATGTTACCCAGGCTGGAGTGCAATGGCGCGATGTCGGCTCACCGCAACCTCCGCCTCCTGGGTTCAGGCAATTCTCCTGCCCCAGCCTCCTGAGTCGCTGGGATTACAGACACGCGCCACCATGCCCAGCTAATTTTTTGTAGTTTTAGTAGAGACGGGGTTTCACCATGTTGACCAGGATGGTCTCGATCTCTTGACCTCGTGATCCACCCGCCTCGGCCTCCCACAGTGCTGGGATTACAGGCTTGAGCCACCGCGCCCGGCCCTAACTACAGAATTTTAAATATGAACTGTCTTTAAACAATGGAGCTATTAATTTCACCAGCTTGATAATGCTATTCTGTTTATATAAGAGAATGTTCTCATTCTTAGGAGAGCTATGCTGAAATACATAAAGTGTCATGGTATCTACAACTTTCAAATGGTTCAGGATTTTTAAAAAGGTACATATACCTAGAGTAAAGCAAATGAGACAAAATGTTAACAATTGACGAATCTAGATGTTGAATGAAATATTCTTTCAACTTTTCTAAATGTTTGAAAATTTTAAAATGGAAAAGTTGTGGGGGGTGAGGGTAACGACAAATAATTTGGCTAGTGTTTGGA